AGGAATAATTACTCTCCCTTCTGGAAAATTCCTGATCAAAACCCAACAAAATTCTCTAACGCAAGTGATTCCACACATCATCCTGGCCTATATGAGCAGACAGCCAATATTTTAGAAATGAAGTGAGTTATAAGAAAACCACAAATTCTGGGGTACCAAATATCTTTGCATTAAAAACACAAGATAATATAAGGGGAAAATGAACTGATTTTGTAGTATTTTTTTACCATCCTTATTTTCATAATTTACCAATACTTGAGAATAAGGATCACAGAGGACAACAAATAAGCTAGATAAGACAGGTAGCCCCAAGCTTACAAATATATCTTGCAAAAGTTATTTCATTTACCCTCACACAACCCTTTAAGGCAACCATTTTTACCTTTTTTTTAAAAAAGGAAGAATGTGTCAAAGGTCAAGTGACTAAGAGGTGGCAGAATTGGGATTTGAACTTGGACTCCTGTCTCTAACCTGTTTTTCCCTCCTCATTTCACAATCACATGAATTATGCCTTGTAATTCCTGAATTTCCTGTCTGCATCAAATATTACCTTACCTGGTGCTGTGGTACAGCAGAGAAACCCAACGATAATACTGTGTGGATTCAGAAGAGATTTAAATACTGGCTACTGAGCTGGACACCTCTACCAAGCAGGCCAGGTGAATTCCTTGAGATTCTAAGCCAGTGGGATGAATTTCCAAGACCTCCTCCCCAAGACATATTCCCTTCCTATACTGGGTTTGACCCAATCATTTGCCAGGAAGTAACTGCATCTGCTGATACAGTGCTCTGATATTCACACTGACTTCAGTCCTTCTCAGGAGCCATTTAATCATGAAATCAAGGAGAAATGTTTCACATCAAGCTCTTCTGCTGATCTGAAAAGGCCCCACTGCTTATTTACTTAAGTTTGAAAGCTGAGAATTCACGTTGCTGAGTTCTCCTTGAGTGGCCATTGACATCAAGGTGCTGGGACTTAAATCCAGGAGCTCACAAGATGGAGCGGAGGGCTCACTGGTAGTCTGAAAATAAGGCAAGCAAAAATGCCATTTAGAAAAATATGTCATGTAATTTATTGTGGCTTTTCCATCTCAGAATCTCTACTGGAGACAGAAGAACCCCATTTGGATGCACTGAAGGAAGAAGCCTCCATTCACTGAGTAGCCATGGTGAGTAACACCTCACCATCCACATGGATTTCTGTTTAACTACGGACTCTTCTCATGAACTTGTATTTAAGACAAATACCTAGAGCCATCAAACTACTTCAAATTGTCAGTGCATGTCTCCTCTTTTTAAAGATCTGTTTTATGTAAGTCTGGCTTCTTACTGAACAATTGGAAAAACATTTAATTATTTATTTTATAACATTTCTAATTACTTACATTGGTGGCTTCCATCTGGTTCGTATGTTGCTCCAAAAGCCTTTGCTGGTTTCGAATAAACCTGTTTGAATTGGCAAAATGCAGGTACTTAAAAGAAAATAGATATGAGGATGTTACAAAATCTAACAATTATTAAATACAAAAGTATTTGGGATCAATGACAACTCCTTTTCAATTCATAATAAAATACTTTAATCACTTTTTTGCATTTTATAAAGTATTAACCACCTTAGAGAAAACTGTGAAAAAACAGAAAAACATTAAAAATAATAAAAATAAAAATCAGTATCCAAGACAGTGAACTAGGGTGAAGCAGCATTTCTCTAGCCCTGTGACCTGGGATTTGAGCAGCAGGAATACTGCTCCAGCAAGACGGGTAAAAGAGAGATTTCACTGAAACTCAAAACTGGACCAGTCAGAGTGCCCTAAAGACTTAGAAATGTCGGGTATATTAAACAAGGAAAAGGGACAAAGTTAGAGCTAAGCTGCTTGCAGGAGAATTAGCACACAAAGATGGAAAAAGCTGAGAAATGGATGGTCTTAAGTGTGGAAAAAACTGAGAGTGGAGGGGAAGCTTGCCCTAGGCCAATTCAGAGGCTATTCAGCACAATAAACCCATGTTCACTGACAGCTGAGGCAGGATCCGCTTTGAGGCCACCACACTGCCAGCACCAACAGGAACCATTAACTTGGACCTGGGAGCTCAGGTGTCCTATCCAGGAGTTTGGGGCTGGGTCCAATACATAGTCTTAGCAGACAACAGCCGCCTGACCTAGTCTGTGTCTACCAAGTCTGGAGAAAAGCAGGCATAGAGAGCATTTTGCTGGGGAAATACAAGTCAGGGAGGCTAGGGAGAGCCCAGCACCCTAACCCCTGTGAGTCCTACAGCTGGTCCTAGGAGGGGTTGGGAATTTGAACCTTTGGGGTGTGACTGCATGATCAGGGTCTGAGCCCAGGAGAAACAACAGAAATGGCAAAGGACTGTCTCTAGTGTCCCAGGAGTGGAACTCTGGGGAGGCTCCTGGGGTAGTCTCCCAGCATAGATCAGCAACTGCTGGGCTCTAGACATGCGTATATTTAACACCTCCAGACAACTGGCCATGCATAAAGCACTTGGGGCCTCACTAGACCTAAGCCCCGCCCCCGGGAGCTCAATCTATAGGAGCTCCTCTCACAGAACTTAGCAATGACTTCACCCTGGGAATGGAGCTGACAGTACTTCCCATATCATCCTACATCACACAGCCCAGAGGGAAGCTGAGAAGTTTCAAACTCCAACTGGCATCTTGGTGAGCAACACAATAAAAAGAAAAGATTTGACAGCCTGGGGCCCCTACCCTTTCATTCAGTACATACCTCAAGAAGAAAGAAAAAGAAAGTTGCCAAAACTCAAAGTGGTTCAAAGACTTAGAGGTTAGACAAGAAAACCTACACCTCTTAGAAAAAACATAGGCACCACACTCCCTCAGGTTGGCTTAGAACCCGACTTCCTCAACAGGTTCCTAAAGCACAAGAAGTAAAATAAAAAAAAAAAAAAATAATACATGAGATGGTATCAAACTAAACAGCTTCTTCACAGCAAAGGAAACAATAAAGAATATGAAGAGAGAGCCTAGAAAATGGGAGAAAATTTTCCCACTTGTACCTCAGTTAAGGCATTAATTTCCAGGATAAACAAAGAACTCTAAAAAGCACCAAAAAACCCCAAATAACCCAATCAACAAACAGACACTTCTCAAAAGAAGATATATGATCAACAAATATATTTAAAAAAAAGTTCAACATTTCTAGCAATTACAGAAATGGAAATTAAAACTACTCTGAGATTTTATCTCACTCCAGTCAGAATGGCAACCATCAAGAATACAAGTAACAATAAATGATGGTGAGGATGTGGGGAGGAAAAAGTACACTCATGCATTGCTGGTGGGACTGCAGATTGGTACAACTACTCTGGAAAGTAGTATAGAGATTCCTCAGAGAACCAGAAATGGAACCACTATTTTACCCAGTTATTTCACTCCTTAATATATACCCAAAGTACTTAAAAAAAGAATACTACATTGATGCAGCCACATCAATGTTTATAGAAGTTCAATTCACAATAGCTAAGCTATAAAACCAACCTAGATGCCCTTCAACAGATGAATGGATAAAGAAAACATGGTATGTATACACAATGGAATACTACTCAGTCATAAAGAAGAATGACTGTATGATATCTGCCAGAAAATGGATGGATCTGGAGACTATCATGCTAAGTGAAATAAGCCAATCCTAAAAACCAAAGGCGAATGTTCTCTCTGATATGTAAATATTAATACATAACAAGGGAGGATTGGAGAAGAACAGAAGTTCAGTAGATTAGACCAAAGTAGATTTGTCTAAAGGGGAATGAAGGGAAGGGGTGTGGAAAAGAAATAGGAAAGATAGTGTAATGAATCTTTTTTATGTACATATATAAATATACCACAGTGAATCCCCACATCATGTACAACCACAAGACTGGGGTCCTAATTAGAATAGTATATACTCCATGTCTATATAAATATGTCAAAATATACTCTACTGTCAAGTATAACTGAAAAGAACAAATTTAAAAAAAAAGGAAGAAAGGAAGTCAGAAACAGACAACATATATATATTCTCATTGACTATTTTGACCATCACAAAGGAAACTACTCCTTAATTTTTCATCAAAATTTTCTTGTTTTGAATATGTACTAAAGGGTTCATGAACTTTTATTCATATACATATTTGTTTCTATCCTCTGAAATATAAATGAAAGAAATACAAAATCTTTTCAATGAAATAATATGAGATAATTTCCCAAACTTTAAGAATAAATGGTAAAATCAAACACAGGAGGCATAGAGGACTCCAAATTTATAAAATTACAATAGACCAAACCCAAGTCATATTATTAGGAAAATGCCTAACATACAGAATAAGGGCAAAATTTTAAAACATGCTATAGAAAAAATATAGGTTACATTTAGGGATTAAACCAATCCAGATCTCAGTTGATTTCTCAACCCAGACCCTCAAAGCTAGGAAGTAACATATACCAAGGTCTGCAAGAAAATGGATGCCAAGAAAGAATACCACAGTCCACAAAAGTAAGCTTCAGAATTGAGGATCAAATACAAAGCCTTCCACAGAAAAGGAACCAATAAAAAATTAAAAATCACATCACTAAGAAATTTATTAATATTATGTATATTTCCTCCAGTATTTCTTACAATAAATTTAATTTTAAACAGTTGAAATTACACTTTACATAATTTTATATCCTAATTCAATTGTGTTGTGAGTTATTCAGAACTATAATTTTAATAGCTATAACATTTTACCACATGAATCTATCACTCCTTTAACCATCTTATTCTCAAATACTTAAGCTATTACTTATTTTGCCATTATAAATGTTTGTCCAGAACAATTAAAATACATTTAAAGTAACCTATGTTTCACTGTTTATTTCTATTTCTGTAAGACACTTGATACCTTCCAAAAATATTAACCTTTTGTATCTATGACTTAATTTTACATTGTGTAGGTATTGAGGATAAAGGCAGAAGAGTTGAATTAGTAGAGAAATCCTTGTCCAAAGTACAGCTGTCACTATTATTCCATAGAAACTAAGAGACAATGGACATGACTTCCTAAACCTCAGTTCTCCATTTGCTAAAAGGGAATAAAAATATTTGAACTACTTCAGAAATCTGTTTTCAGGGGCTGGGGATATAGCTCAGTAGCTCACTGATAAAGAGCTTGCCTAGCATGTGTGAGGCTCCGGGTTCAATCCTTAGTAAAAGTAGAAGAAATTTATTTTCAGGGTCAAAAGTAGATAAATATATACACAGATAATCCAGGTAGATGAATGTGGAGACCCTTCTGTAGTAAACATCCAGTATGACCATTAGGACGCACTGACTTCATGAGTCTTACAGTCTTAAAGTTTACACTGCATCTGAGTATGCACTAGGTTTAAGGATTTTTCTAAAATATATGCTTTTTAATGTCTTCTACTTTTAGTTTTGACTTCTTTGTTGCATTACTCAGTTATGTGTGAGGTAGGAACAACGTTCCCAGATCAAGATGTAGGTAACTGATATCAATTTCTTTATTTTCAAAACTATCCCCTGGAAGCACTGAGTGAGGAATTGGATTTAGGGAATGTTGGAATAAGATGAATGTATTTTGTATGAGGGATGAAGGGGAATCTTTGGGGAATCACTGGACTGATTGGGATAGGCAGAATAATAACCCCTCCAAATGTATCTCTGTCCTACTCAACAAAACCAGTGAGTTTATGAGGTTATGCTGCAAGGGGAGATTAAAGGTTGCAAATGGAATGAAGCTGACCAGTGAGCTGACCCTAACTGGGCATTTATCCTAAACAGTACAGAAGAGCCCAATGTAGTCACAAAAGTCCTTAAACTTGGAAGAGGAGGCAGAAGAGGAAGTAAGAGTGATACATGTAGAGTTCTGAACCAGGCATTGGCTTTGAAGACAGGGGAAAGGGGTCATGAGAAAAAGCAAGCAGTCTCTAGAAGTTGTAAACAGAATCTCCTCCAGGGCCTCTAGAAAGAAAAACAGCCCTGCCAACACCCAGGATTTAGCCTAACGACATCCACTGGTACTCCTGACCTGGAGAATTCATTTATTATCTTATGATAATAAATTTGTGTTGTTTTAAGCCACCAGGTCCATGGTCACTTGTTAAAGCAGCTGAAGAAAACTAAAACACAGGTCTATATTTTTTCTAGAGGCAAGAATTTCTCTCTGGATCTCAGGACTCAAGTGTTTATCACACAACTTACCATAGTCACCTTGGCACATGTGGTTCAAAGCTGAACCAGAACCTAGTGTTCACAGAACCCCATTCCCTGATATCTAGACCAAATAAACTCTCTCCCGACAGAGGAGACCTTTAGGCACTGGACTTATGGTCTGCAATAGAATCCTCCCAAATAAAAACCAGGACAGAACTAGACTGGAAAACACATGGTTTTCCTTGGATATTTCTCTGCTTACCAAGATTTACACCATACAAAAATAAACACAGGATGAGGACTGTGAATTTCTTTAGTGCTAAGAAAGAGAGCAAGGTTCTCATCATCAGTCAATGCCCCCTCATCTTTTCTTACAAACAGCTACTGTCCTGGTAGGCAGCAAAGGAAGAACCTACCCTTCTACAGGTGCTGGTTTTATTTCACCGATTCTCTTTTTTTATGCCTCGCTCTTCATCTGCTAGCTAGGAATACAGCCACTGTACATTTAAACATCCCAAGTAGTTCTCCTCAGGGATGTGTCTTTAAGGGCACCTAGTAAATCACTTAAACTGGGAGGAACACCTCTGGCATTTAGTGAAGAGAAGCCACACAAGGGAAAACTGTCCCTTGCAGAATGCCACACGTACTGAGAAAAAAGGATATAGAAAAAAGTGTCCCCCATTGGGCACGGTTGTGAGGACACTGAGTGAATGGTGCAACTGTGACCCCAAAGAGGGCCAAGCAGGGGACACCATCAGCTCACCTCTCGTATCCAAGGATGGCATTATTCAAATCCTCATTCACTTGAATCAGCTCAACAGTTACATCTTCGTTCTCCACCACCACAAGCAGGTCCATGATCCTCTCCTGCATCTCCCGACAGGTCTTGTAAAGTTTCTGTCAAAGAAAGGAGAATCGTTTCTTCTTCCATTCTAGGCTCTATAGACACAGCATGCCAGTCTACATATACATGTGATCATCTCAGGCCAAGTCACCTGTGAGAGTCTACAAGGTGTTCAACTGTGGAAAGTGCATCTTTCCTATTGGAAGGCAATGAGATATAAAAATGCTTTTATTTTTCTCTGAAAGCCAAAATGGGTATCCTAAGGACAATACGGTACACCAGAAGCAATGCTTGGACTACAAATTAGAGGTGCTGTATGGGAATTCTAGATGCAGTACTTATTACCTATGCCATGTTGGGGGAAAAAATATTACTCTTTTCTAAATCTCAGTTTTCTCATTGATAGATAAAAAATAACCATTTGCTCCATCTGCCTCAAGGGTTGACATAAAAATGAAATGAAATGTACATAATGAGGAACTCTATAACTAGGAAGCACAAACATTAAATGTTATTGTTGTTATTAGTGATGGGAGAAGAAGTAGTTAAAAAACATTGACAGTGGTATAATTTTACTTCCTGTTATGCTGTACTTAAACACTAAGAGTTTACAGGCATATCACATTCCAGTGTAAACACTACCAGGATTAAAAAACTCCTCACAGGTAATAACCTTATTGAGATACCTAGAATCGCTGCAGTGAGCCACAACCACCATGCTCCAAATCAGTATCTTTCTCACAAGCATTAGAGGCACCTAAAACACACTTACTGATTCCATAATCTCCAGGACTTGGGGTCCGAGGAGCTATAGTTTTAAACAAGCACACCAAAAAGTTTCTTAGGTACACTGACATTTGAAAAGTGCCGCCTTACAACTGACTTCCTTCTAGGCAAACCTCCAATAAACCTGAAGTGAATCCAACTAATGTTATTATCTCCTCCGCCCTACCTTGGCTAGAATTTGCCTGTGTAGCATTGCCAACATTAGCCAAAAGCACAGGGCTGATCCTCCTCTTACAGTGAATGCAACTCAAGTTGCTTAAGCATCACACAATTAAACAATCTGACATTTTCCCCTCAAGAAATAGACTACTGAAAAATTAATGCTTCACGAGACCATTTAGAATCTCAAACAATCTATATTACAAGACTCCTGAGAGGAAATCTCTAAATAAATAAATCAACCTTTTAATAACTGGCATTTAGACTAAGAGATAAAAGCCACTACCCTCCACAAAATCATAAAAAATATTTAGAACACAGATGAAATGAAAAGGGAAAAACAAGGAGGGAATCAGACAGATAGCTGAGAGTGGGTATTAATACTTCCAATGTGTAGCCAGAAAAACTGTCCTATTTGCTAATGACATGGCCACCATCAGCCATGGCATGGTGTGGGTGTCAAAATTTTTCTTAAAGCTCTAGATATTAAATATTTTGTTTTGAGGAGCATCTAGTCTGTTGAAAGTTCTGAACTCTGTCATTATGGTGTGAAAACAACCCTAGAAAACAAGAGATGGTTGTGACAAACTTCTAATAAAACAAAAGACAAATGGTAGACTACATGGAAAGAGAAAGGACTACAGATGCAATAGGCTAAAAGTAGATCCAGTATACATACCTGCTATGGAATTTAGAGAAATGAGGCTAAAACTTAACAGTAGGCTTGTTTCTCCCCACATCTATAACACAGCAATAACAACCATTTTGCAGGGTTATTGTAAGTACAGGAAATGACTATCTGAAGCCCCACAACGTCTAGTATACAGTGAGTAGCCACGACATATTACATTGGTGACTAGAAGCTCATCTCAATAATTAATACAATCCTCTAATTCTTGCACCATCATCTAGGAACCCAATATCATGCAAAGCAGAGAACCAAGAGCATCTACTTCCCTGATGAATGAGAACGCTTCCTTTGTTCTTGCTTTAAAGGGTACAGCAATTGTTCCTCTTGTTGCTCACTGGCAGCCTTGCTAGAACAAGGTCAAGATCAAGGAAATACAATGGGTGTTAGATGCCCATGACAAAAATGTAGAAATTAATTTGAAATGAGTTTGCAGCCAACATCAATAGCCCCCAGTCATAAGAAGACCCTCCCTTTGCCCTTTCAAGAGCCAGATGGAATGGAAACATGAAAGGAACATCACATCTCTCAGCAGGTTTGCAAAGCAGAATGGGGAAAAACCTCTTCAAAAGCCAGCCCACTCTGATCTTTGCAATTGATGTCTGTCTCAGAGGAGGGCTGCACCACCTGGAAACAGCAGAGACCAAGCACCATGGACAAAAAAGATGAGTCAGAGTTCCTCACAGTCGGAACCTGCAGAGCTGTGGACACAGGGAACCATGGGGAATGAGTCAAGAATGACAGGTGCTAATACAAGAGTCACTGACAGAGCCCCTGGAATCACCTCCTTTTATTATAAAGGCAAAGTCAGACTTCCAAGTTAGAATGAATTTAACAAGGAATTCAAAAAGCTTTGGAGCAAAACAAAAAGGAGCTCATTAAGAGCTTCCTCTTCCGACATCCAGATGGCTCTTAATCCTCCACAAAGCTTTCAGGAATTAAGGAAGGAGATCCCTCTGAACTTTCAGAACAAACTACAGTTGACCTACGTTTACCAAGACAGGACCACACACTAAAAACAGAAAGAAAAATGTACAAACAGGAAATAGTGTGTTTGCATGAAAGAATCTCTATAAAGAGTATCTGTGTGGCGACATCCCTATAATCAGCCCATAACATATTTTTCCTCTCCCAGGGCTTCCAACCCCAACTGCAACAGATTGAGAGGATGCCCCTATCTGCTAAAAAAGAAAAACTCTCCCACACTCCAAAATGAAACATTTATCAGCTTAAATCAATCATTCACACAGTTGTTCCTCATACACACCTCAGCTGAATGATGAACTGTCAATAGAATCTTCAGATCATCATTGGAACTCTTTGACTCTTTTGCCCCATTAAATATTGTCAACATCTTATTTTTCCTAATACCTATGTCTTCAATAAATCCTTCTGTTCTATGTAACTTCCTTTGTCCTAAGTCACTCATTCTTCAATAAAGTGCATTGATCTATTCAACTGATGGTTAATAACCTCACTCAGTGTGCCAAGCGTGTAATATAAATATGCATAACTCCATGAAGCACTGTAATGGCTTTACAAGGATAGGCCTTGGTTACTGCCTTCAAGTGACTTTCTAACTAGTTCAGAGCTAATTTCATACCTACAGGAAAAGACAGTCCGTTAGGGCGGCCATGGTTGTGCATGCCTATCATCCCAGCAACTAGGAAGGCTGAGGCAGGAGGAGTGCAAGTTTGAGGCCAACCTTGGCAACTTAGTGCAACCCTGTCTCAAAAGTAGAAATAAAAAGGGTGAATGAATGAATTAACGAACAAAAAATTTTAAAAAGAAAATAGGTTAGCCTTCTACCCTAGAAAAGTCAGCCCTTGGTTCACAATGAGAAAGGAGCTGGCATCAAGGATAGAACACAGGCTTAGGAGAATACAGTTCCCATTCCCCTCCCTGCTTACTAGTGGGTGGGCAGGCCATCCCTCTTCTAAATATGCAGCTTCGTCTGTGAAGAAAGGGACATGGACTCCATGACATGAAAAGTCCTTTTCAAGGATAAAGACTTGGTCAGAGGAGGGTTATTTTTCTTTTCTTTCTTCCTTTTTTTTTTGAAACTGGTTTATAGATCATCCTCTTGTGATCATCTGAGCTCTCTTGATTCCACAAAAGACCAAAATATTTTCTTCGTTTGGTCTACTGGGAAGAGGCAAAAGGTAAGACTAAAGTGGGAGGTCCTGAGAAAGTTGGTTTCTGAAGATAAGAGGAAAGTGCCCAAGGCCAAATGCACAATGGGCAAGAAAACACATACAGGAAAAGGGTGTTGCAATTCTTCATACCTATGGCCAGGGCAGACACCCACAGCTCATCACCACATACCTGAGACTGACTGCGGCCTCACACTCCCCACCAACAAAAGAAAACCAAGCCCCGCCCAAGTAAACAAAAGGAAGGAAAAAAAAACGCAACCAATGCAAAAAAAGGGTTTAAGAACCAAAAGGCCAAAAAAAGGCAAGAACCACCGGAAACAAAAACCGTTCAAGAACCAAAGGCCCAAAAAGGAACGGAAGAAAAGACAGGGAGTTCCAGGGAAATACATTAGATTTCAGATGGAAGGAAACAGGTAGGAAACAGGTTCCAAAGAAACAGAACAACCAGTAGAAGGTAACCTCAAACAGATAAAACTCTGGTTTTAACACTAACAAATGATAAGACTGTGGTCACTGGTTATGTGCTAGAAGAGCCAGACAATTCCTCCGAGTGGAGGCTTTCCTACGGCTGGCCACCTTTCTTTTGCCCTGCAGATCCACTGGCCACTTTCTGCCAAGGAAGCTGGCTTGTAGGGACCACACCACCAGGTCCGCTGCCCTCTGGTTTCTGACTGGATTCAGCTATCAGGACACAGGGGCGGGAAGCAGGAGGAGAATGAGGTCTGGATGGTTCCACTCCTTCTACCAACGACACTGCTATTGTCAAGGCTGCTCTCTCTGCATTATTCTTTCCTTTGGGTTCTTCCTCCCATCTGGCTGCCAACTCCTTCTAATGACCACTTGGGTTCATGCTGCAGCTTCTGGAAGCCCCAGCAGTTCTGAGGGCAACAGCCAGGGAACTAGCACATCATCCTAAGTTCCTCCCTCTACTGATCCCAGTAGTGCAGATAGATGAGCAAACCTTTGACAAAGTAAAATGTAAAGAATTCCTTTGCTTCTCCATAGTTTACCTTTGGTTACTCTCCTTTTTTAGATCTTTAAGTCAGATAGGTTCCTTGTCCTTTCCCTCCATAGCAGGTGAAGAAATCAACCACAGCAGAGTTACTTAGATTTTAAAACTTCAAATATGGGTCAAAAGAAATTTGGAATAGCCTACCCTACACCAGATCTTTATCTGTTATTGCCAAAAAGCATGGGAAGAAAAATAAAGTTCCCCATCCAGCAGTCTCTATAAACAAGTTGATAGGATGCCAGAACCCATTCAACTTGAATTGGGCTAGGAGCAGTATTTCAATGTTGATTTATAACCTAAATCTCTTTTACTATTCAAAGCAATACACAACCCTGAGCTCTGGCATTAAAACAGCAACCCACAAATTCTCATCAGACTTGTAAGATTCAACCAAACATCTGCACCCAAGGACTCAGACAAAAAGGCATTTCAGTCATGGTGAATAAAAGATAAAACTGGATTCAGGTGTTTAAATGGACGGTTTCAGTGTGCATTTTTACCACAGGGCTCTTTGCTACAAATGAATGAAACCATGAGAAACAAGTCATAAATCAATTCATTTTAGAAGTCTGAATGGCCTGTGAAGACCATTCAGAAATATTGTGAAGATCATGTGAAACTAGAAATATTGCTGTGGCCATTTTCAAAATCTATTATCTGCCACATACCCTTTTAACTTGGATATTTAAATTTTAGTTTAACTCACTAGTTAACCTCCTACGTTACAAAGCTTCTACACATAAAAGATTCCAATTGTAGATTTGTTTTGTTTATTTTAATTTTTTTTTTTTTCTGGTGGTACTGGGATCAAACCCAGGGCCTTGTGCATGTAAGGCAAGTGCCCTACCAACTGAGCTATATCTCCAGCCCCAATTGTGGATTTTTTAAAGGATTGCTAGATATGAATTCTAATGATTGATTTTCCTTTTATTCTTCTAAATTAATAAGATATGCTTAATATTCCCTTTGTTTACATCTAAGCTCTTCATTTTAGACATGCAGAAACAAAGCCCAATGATAGTAAATGACTAGACCAAGGGCAAGACCTCCATTGTTCAGTGAAATAATATTTTACAATGCTCCTAAGTAAAATATTCCAAAAATGATACACTTAAACCAATGATCACAACATTGATTTGTTTCTCAAGGTACACTGCTTTCATGTTCTGCAGAATATTAACAGGTATTTAGAAAATCAGGATTCTTTGGTCAAGTAAGCCAGCAAATGTTGGGTTAAAAACAAAGAGTCAATCTTTACTATAACAATGAACTTTGCAAACGTCCCAAGGTATATGAATGTATAGACACAGGAGTTTCGAAGGACCCTCCAAGTGCTCAAGCCTTGAAGAATCCCCAAGAATCTCCAAGGCTCGAAGAGTCCCCAAGAACTTGTACAGATCAGATCTTACTTTATGCTTCAGGTTATGTGTTTGCATCCTCTTCTGCCTACACACCGGAGAGACACGCAAATTCACATCCACCGACACTGGGATTGGGAGCCGCAAGGAGTTCCTTACAAGGAGACCCAGTGGTCTCTGGGTAGAGGTTTGCAGAGATACACAGAGTGAGAAGTCACCTCTGTTTTTTTGTTTTTATTTTTATTTTAATCACATTAGAACCAACTCTTTAAAAACGCTTCTTAATTAGGTGTGGTGGCGCATGCCTGTAACCCCAGTAAATCAGGAGGAAGTGGAATATCACTCACTCACTATCTAAGGAATTAAAGAGAACACTAACATGAGAAGCAAGGAGTGAGGATCTTCTGAGAAAAATAAAAATCTGACAAATTGTTAACTTGCCTAGAGAGACTTAGAAACAGACCTTTTTTTTTTTTTTTTTCTAATGAATTCTAAATGTAATAAGCATTAAAAGGAAGTCTATATTTTATTCTTTTGTTTGGAGAGAAGGTCTCACTATCTCATTATGTTGCCCAGGCTGGTCTTGAACTCCTGGACTCAAGTTAGCCTCCCTACTCAGCCTCCTAAGTGCTAGAATTACAGACATGTGCTATAACACCTCGCTAAAATTAATAAGTATTAAAATTTAAAAATTGATAATTCAATGAACAAATGAATAGAGTGAAAAAGTAAAGTATATGAATGTACAGACACAGGAGGTTTGGGAGGACCCCCCAAGTGCTCCTGGTTTTCCTCCCATGTTCATCAAAGTCCCAATGCCTTTTCATCTGTTCCTCCACAGATGAGTACTGCCCCCATCTAAAGCTTTCCTAAAATCTTCACCATTCTCCTCATTCCCATTCATGAGGCCACCCCATTCTGACAAATTTTATATTACAGCATCTGTAATACTTGATTTGGTTGTTTATAAACTGATCTTGCTTACAGACAAAAGTTCTTAAGGATTACGGACAGCCTCTTTATACCTATATTCCTTATAGTTATTCAATACATTTGTTAAATGGATGTATATAGAGGCAATATTTTTTACACTTAAAACAATGAGAAGATACTCATGGTTTCACACGCCTATAATCGCAGCTACTCCAGAGGACGAGGCAGAATAATCACAAAACTTAGAGGCCAGCCTGTGCAACATAGGGAGACTCTCCCTCAAAATAAAATGACAAGGGCTGGGGGTGTAACTCAGCTATAGAGCACATGCCCAGCATGCAAGGCTCTGGGTTTGATTCCCAGTACTGCAAAATTGAAAAAAGTAAATAAATGAAAATAAAAAAGAAAACAAAACCCAATTGGGGGGACTGGGATTGTGGCTCAGCAGTAGAGTGCTTGCTTACCACATGTGAGGCACTGGGTTCGCTCCTCAGCACCATAAATAAATAAATAATGCAAAGGTATTTTAAAAAATGGGGTATTTGATTGCATACGACCAAGGTCATAAATTGCATCAGGGCAAGGAAGAATCATGTCTAAGTTACTACTGCATTTCGGCTAATGTCATACTTTGATCTTTTCTTCTCAAGTTTAGAAATCAAATGCAGTCAGATGCAAGGGGAAGGACTAGGCAACAGTAGAGTATCTACCATCTCCAAAGCTCAAAAGTTCAGAGAATGACCTCACAAGACACTCTGTCCCTGATCACACAGCACCTGCAGAAGCTCTAGGTCTTCATGGTTCTCAGATCCGGGAGTGTTCTCCATCAGTATGGCAGACATCACTCTCACGTTCATTTTCACCATATCCAATTCACTGTGCAGCTTTCCAATCTGTGGAGAGCAACACAATCCCCAGTAAGTGCACTGCATGAAGAAGAATGGCTGTGGCTAGCTTGCTTCCCACTCCCAGGACTTATGCTGGAGGAGATAATGCTGCAAAATTTCATGTCTTCAAACACATTTAAGTTTATACAAATACACACACATTTAATTACTTTATGAATTAAACTGTTAATAAATGGTCTTGAGATTTCTTGTAACAAACCCAAAATTACTCTTTAGGAAAATTAAAAATGAAGGGAGGAAAAAAAAAGATTAAAACAATTAGAGGAGGAGGTACTAAGTACATAGTAGGAGAATTAAGAACCTGGGGAAAAAATGGCAAATGTTACCCTGAGTTTCTTGATAACCAATAAGAGCTGGGGAGAAAATGAGAATGTGTAGCACTCTGATGGCATCATAGCAAGAAGGATAAAAAAATAAACCCCCTTTTTTTTTCTTCCCCAATTAAAGAGGAAGAGGGATTAATCACACAGATTTTTATGTTTATTGGTAATATTAAGACAAATATTAATTGAATAATACTAATATAAATCTTCAGTGACAGTTCCTTTATAGCAGGACCTAAGTGTTACATAACTGTTCATGTGCCCCTTTGATGGACAGGGACAAAGAAGCAAATGCCACTTAGTTGGCATAATTAATAAAGACCACCATTTCCTGAGCTCTCTGAAATGATATTCAGACAGTCCTATCAATAGGAACAGGAATCAACTGATGGACATAAGTCTCAGTCCATAGTCAAAACTTCACAAAGCCCTGAAATCAACTAGATACGCACAATTAAAAGTGAGCTTTGGAATCAGATAGAAGCAACTGAATTAATTCTCCTCAGAAATCAACCACAGTAATTCACAGAAGTATCCCCAAGCCATAGTCTTCTGTGCTCTTAAACCACAGGGAATAATGCACATATACCTCATAATGTTGTTAAAACAAACAAACAAACTGTATATACAATGCTTAGAACTTAGAAAAAGCAACAACAAATATATTTTTTGCGCTTGTTACCTGTTCTGGGACCAAAGTAATAGTTGAGTTCCTGGGAGGAATTACTGAAGAAAGAGCTGGTGCAGTAGGAACAGATGCTGGTGGAGTCAATGAGGTCTGAGAATGAAAGGAAGAATGTTATGAGACTCACATAGCCACTTCAAGCCCAACTTTCTGAGCTGACTCAGGCACTCTCAACCAAAGTCCTGATTCAATCATCAAGCACACAACCTGCCCATCATTTTGAGAAAAACCCTAAGCAAATGACATGCCCATAACAGAGCAGGTATTCAATAGCATGCGGCAGGTATTCAATAGCAATGTGGCTGCTATTTGGTTTACTAACTGAGTAACAATTCAATAAAGTACTCTTGTTTTTACAAAGTGTCTGCCTGATAAACTGACATGTGAGATGATTACTGCCCTCTCTTTAGGTCATTAAAAACAAACGGTAAATAAATTCATAATAAATTTTTTTAAGCCACAGTTGGCAAGGCATGTCCTCTACCAATCACTACTCCCTGAGTCAATGCCTTACCTGCAACATTGAGTAGACAGCCCATAGCATGGGCTCTAGGCCAGTGCTGATCAACACCAATGTGCAAACACCTGGAAATCTTATAAAAATGAGGATTCTGACTTTTTTGGGCATGAAGCATTTCTAACTAGTCCCATATCAGACCCCAAATACACCAAGCAACCAGATCCTTAGCCATTGTTATTCTACAAGATGTGGCCACATCCTTCTAGTAAACTCATCTTTTGGCTCCACTTAGTTGAGCTAGGGTGTCGTTTACAATATAAAAAGATCCAGGTAACATTCTCTTACTCCACATGGGTCAAAGAAAAGCCTCCTACCTCTTGCCTTGCTGTTGGAGCCTCTGCATCTGAGAGAGGAAACTGAACACCCTTCTTAAGCAGGTCAAGGTACACTTCTTTCACTTCACTTACATCTACACCTCCTGGGAAACCCTGTGACCAACACTGAGTTCAAGAGACAGAAAGTTCTGGAGTTAAAATAGCAGCAAAAGCAGTTTTTAAACTTGTGATATAAGATGAGAAATTAACAACTGTGTCCTTTATTAGGAAACACAAAGCTATTTCTGAATGCCATGAACAAAGTATTCATTTTCAAGGCTAGGATATTATAAAATACTTTAAATCCTCAGAATCCTATGCTTCAACATCTTGATAGAAGACTGAAATAGATACGATCAATCATTTTTTTGCTGTGCTAAACATAAAATTAATAGATTCCAAAATAGTATCAGTAACTCTTTAGCCAGGTAACCTTGAAGTAGTTATTTATCTGCTCCAGAAGATAGTTTCTATATCTACAAAATGAACATACCCATCAATGTCTTTCCTGATGTGGATGAAATAGAAACTAAGAGGAAGGGAGGGAGATGAATACAAATTCTTCAGGAAAAGGTTATTATCCAACACCCAGAAATCATTATGCCAGAGAAACAAAGAAATGGGAATGTTCTCTGGCTCAATCCTAGGTTAAGAAGGATCATTGAAACAATCAGAAGATATCCCATTAAATCTCTAATCTTAGAAACATACCGTCCTTTATTTAGAATGTGACAAGTAGACAACAGACTCACCTTAATGAAATTCAAGATTCTATTCTGAATGTCCAATGGTAAGGTGTATTTAGGATCCAACAGCTTAACCAGACTATCTTTAATGAATTCTTTCTTCACAATCAGAGATTGGAAACTTGGACCACAGTTCTGCATGCACATGTCAATGAGCTAAATAAGAAAAATTAAAACAGTGTATTTCTCTGGCAAAATCACCCCAGAAATACAAGGCAAAAACTGCTAAGTAATGATTTCTACCAGCATTCTAATTAATAAACATTATTTACTTTCTACTACAAGACACAGCACAATGGTAGGTTCTAGGGATATGAGGAAGAATAAGTATAATGTAGCTACCTGGGGGCTGGGCTTGATGGGGAGTGGGGACACCATTATCACAGCAAAATAAGGCAGTAGACTCTACCTGCTAAGTGGGAAGTGTGAGCAAACCACATGGGCTAAAGACAGTATGACATCTGTCCCAGTTTATCCAGGGAAGACCTGTTCCATCTCTGTTGTCCTGACTTTGTTAATGACGACACATCCTCTCACTCTCAAACATTCTGGTTTGGATAATAAATTGCACAGCAGTAAGCCTAGCTACAGACCTATTTAGGTCAGTGTGATTATTTAGGACCGGGTGGCCTTATAAGATTTTTGGAAAAGGCTGGTCCTGAACTAAGCATTGAAAAATGAATATAAAAAGTAAAAAAAAAAAAAAAAA